ATAGACTGCAGCTCCCCTTTAACCAATCCCAGTGATGATGATCTGGCTCTCAGTCTGCTGGCATAATTGTTGCCCTGCGAGCTGCATAAATCGCTATGCAGGGTGAGGTTGGTAGTGCCTTCATTATATATTGGTGGGAGCGGTGGATTGGAGACTGCTGCTGTCTCTGGTCATCTGATATGTCAAATGGCACTGGGGGACAGGAATTAGGGCAGTCTGCCTTCACTCACTCCCCAGCAGAAAAATGTACTGATCTCAGCGGCCACCCCCTCTTCCTAGATGTAGGATTTATATGTTATACACTTTTAGTCTAGGTTCACACCTATGCATTTTCTGGAAATGCACAGCAATCCATTTAACATGATTTCCTATGGGACAGGTTCACATCTCTGCATTTTTACCCAGTACGTTTTTTGGAAAGGGTCAGGGATTTTTTTAAATGCAAAATGTTGCATTTTTGGTTGTATAGACTTCAATGGAGATGCTGCAGAAAAGCATGTAGTGCATTTGTGATGCATTTTTAACAAATTTTTGATGCGTTTTTTATGCAGTTTGCATTTTAATCTGCCTAGGAACAAGTTGGAACCCCCCCCAGCAAAACACATCAAAAATGCATCAAAAACACATGTGCAAAAATGCAAATCGTACTGCAAAACGTACTTCAGAAATGGATGAAACGCAAACTGCATAGGTGTGAACCTAGCCTTAAGCTGTGTAGCATGGTAAAACATGAAAACCCCTCCCAAAACCAATTCCATTCTATGGGCTTGAGCAGACATGACAAGAAACATAGGACATACAACAAGGTAGGAGAGCAGGGAATTTGAATGAAAAGCGGTATATATATGCAGCAAATCCTTTTTTTGTATAAAGTGCTATAGTTCTGCTTGATGCCTCTGTTTTTTCTGTCGGTGTTAAGAAGAATGTGCGGAAGGCCATCTGTGAGCTCTAGCTCTTAGCCCCTTTGTCAGTTTATATCAACCTGATATTTGTTATGGCACCATGCTAACCCACCCATATAATTACTGTCATTTCTCATTTAAATAGGTTTTATAGAGTCAGATGCAGTCAATCCCTTACCTGGTAACCTAGATCACCCACTGGCTTTTTATATATCTCTTGTGGATTCCAGTAGTGAGATCTCCCAGTTCCTGGCTTTGCTTCCCTCACCATGGAGTCTCACTCCTGCTGGTGAATTTTCTTTTAAGTACAATAAAAGAAGCATCCAAAGTGACAGCTCTTATTGTAACAGTGGTTGGAAGGCAGATGTGACAACTCACATGCAGAGATCTCGCTGCGGGAATCCAAGAGAGATAATAGGAGCTTGTGGATGATTCAACTACTGATAACACTGTTGTTATGCAGGCTGACCCTTTAGAGAACAACTCAGATCTAAACAAAAATGTCTCTTTAGTCTCTGATGACAGAGCTGTTTAGTTCTTTATATCTGAAGTACATTGACCATGCACCTAAGGCACCAAACCAAAAGAGATGTAAAAAAAAAAAATGCATGCGATATTACTTCTGATGGGAAGTCTATTCATAACCCTTCACATGAGCCGAACAACCAGGGGCGGACTGACCATTTGGAAACTCGGGCACTGCCTGAGGGCCCGGGGTCAGTAGGGGGCCCCATGAGATGCCCCTGGTACCTTTTTCATAGGCTTTTTTGAGTTTGGGCGAGGACACAGGGGCCCCATGATCCCCTATTGCCGGGGGCCCATGAGTTGTCAGTCCGCCCCTGCTAACAACCCTACATGCTCCTGTGCCCCGACACTTAACCTACCTATAAAATGGAATTCATAAAGTCTGGAAAAAGTAAGCAGCAAAATGTATTTTGTACATCTTTACAATAAATGCAGATTTCTGCATGGCGTGTCTCTTTCAAAACATTGCAAGTACAAAAAAATATACCTGTTGATCTGCTAGAAATTGAGTATGCTTCTAACTGCCAGTAGGGATTTCACAACCCTACCTTTGCACTTGCCATCCGCCCTATAGCAGTAGTACTGCTACAGGGTGGCATGACAGCGCCAAATCATGTATATATACGTGATTTGCATCTGCAGGTAGGGGGTGCCCTACCTGCGCCGCTATTGGTAGCTGGGGATGTCAATCACCAGGTCCCGGCTAGCGATTCTTGGCCAGCACTCCGTGTTCATCAGCAAATCAGACAGGGTAGAGACCTGTGTGTAACAATAATAAATAAATACTCCTGCGCCATAGTATATCTATAATCCCAGGTATAAGATGCTGCTGTGCACTAGTGTAAACACCAAAAAATCAAAAACAAAATTAGCCAGCACAAATAATACCTATACCAATCACTTAAATCACACTAAATACATAAATGTGAAGAAAATTAGCAATAAATGTGACACTCTCAAAACAAAAAAATAATTACAATGATAATAATAAATGTGAATGTGCCCAAAGCACTTTGGTGCATAAAGATTATATATAAAGGAATTTAAAAAGTCCACAGATCCTTTTCCCAGCCTTCACAGTGTATAGAAAAAAGAAAAAAGAAAGAAAAAATCTTCTGTACATATGTGCTTCCACCTTCCACCAGTGCAAACCAACATGAACCGCACTCACCAGATATTGGTGAGTAGTAAGCCTTTTAGGAATTTCAGGGATCCTACACCCCCTCTATAACCTCCGGACCAACATTCCACCGTACAGGGCCAGCGTTGTCCTTCCACTCCTTTCTAAATCAGGACCTTCAAACCAGCTCCAGCGTTGTGTCAAAGAGAAAATATCATATAGTGTAATATTGCCAAACTATCACCAACCCTTAGAAATGTATATCAAACCACTCACATTTTCCAAATAGAATAAAAACATGTTTTATTATTCTCCATCGATAGGAAAGAGACCATAAACTTCCACAAATAGCTCTCAGAGACCTCACAGCTCGATTTGCAGTCTGCAAATCGAGCTGTGAGGTCTCTGAGAGCTATTTGCGCAGTGAGAATGGTAGGACGTGGTAGGGCGTCATATGACGTCCTATCAAAACGAGAGAACCACCTTGTGCCCGTCATTGTACTATAGGGTGGGCAAAAGGTGGTTAAAAAAACAGCCTTGTGTTTTTTGCACAAAAAGCATTCACATGTTTATTGTTGCATGTTACTGTTTTTATTCCTATGTTTCATCTTTAAAGCAGACTTTGTGATTGAGGAAACAGGAAACTTGATTCAGAGAAAAGACATTGAGTATACCATAGATGCAGCTACAAACTTATAAACACTGCCATCTAATGGTTGAAGAATATATCTCTACAGAATACTGATGCAGTTGTTGCACAAAATACATGAACACTGTATTCCAACATATATTAGAAAACTGGATAGGATTTGCGAGTTAGTGAAGGCTCAGTGGGTATAGAGTACCTGACTAGAGGTGCAGACAATTAGAAGCATGATGTAGGTAAAGAGTTGTTAGCTCTACAACAATCCCATCCACTTACAAGGATGACCATGCATCAGTTCCTTTGGAAATTTGTAATGTGGTCAGCTTAGATAAAAAAAAAAGCCTCGCTTAGTTAGCTTAGTCTGTCTATTTATTAACAAAAATGTCCATTTGGACTTATATGGTTCCTGGCACAATCTATCCTAAAATCCAAGCCTGCTTGATTTATTTTTGAAGGTGATTTAAGGTGAATTATTTTTAATCATGAGCTGCTTCATGTCTTTACTGAACACGAACCCTGCATTACCTGGATAATAGAATCATAGCGTAGAGGTAGATGAAATGATGCTACTGGAAGCAGTCATTTATTTAAGACTGAAACCACCATAACAAAGAGCGAAGTGAAGAGGACTGAAGAGTGGATGGAGAGGAGGAAATACATTTGGTATGTCACATAATGGCTGCCTGTGCTAAAACAAGAGGTACTTACATGAATAATAGCAGATAAACACAATTTGTTCTTTTACGGGTGAAAGTTCTCTAAAAGAGATGAGATAGTGTATATGGAAGCAATTTATTGATCACTTTAAATGAGAAGTGTGCCTCTGCGATGATAATAATAAAGGTTAACTGTTATGTTGTTCTTCGTATCTCTTTGATTTAATGGCAGAAGCCCTATGAATAGTATTTTTGACAGCATATCAGATGCAGCCAATATCAGATGCAGTCAATGCTCAGGCATCCTGGCAGCCGCAAGCAGAAATTGTCAGAATGCAGGCAGAGCGACAGGAGATTTATCCATCTGTACTGTATAACTTGCAGGCTGAATTAAAAAACTAAAAGTGTATGGCCAGCTCAAGCAGATTAAAATGCAGGCCATACAAGATGGCCAAAGACAAGTAGCCTTCTTTCGTTCAGCCAGTGGGCTGATTGAAAAAAATAGAACAGATTCCTCCATACACACAAGCGAGGTGGATGGAGGACTCCCCTCCCCCCCACCTTCCTTGCTGGGGAAAAGTGTTCTTACAGTGGGACCTGGTGCCATCAGAATACACTGACCAGCAACTGCAGTTGCTGATTGACAAAAGTTTTCCAACTTGTCTCTTCAACAGAAGTCATTCTAATAATCTTGAAACTCAGCCTGTCATTGCTGAACCACCTGCATTTCGATCCAGCAATGGCAAGCTTTACTTTAAAAAGTTCAAAATAGCTCTGGGGATAGTGAAGTGTTGAATGCTCTTCGGCCATTCCCTTCCTACTTGTGAGTGGTACCAGTCATCATTATGACTGGCCAATAAAGAGGTAGGAGGGGTGAACCTTTACTCTACTTGGCATCAAGGCTTCAAGACTAGATTAGAGCAGGGGCATACCTAGCATACAGTACTTGATACTCAGGGCAGATTATTTTTTAATACCCCCTTCCCCTCACTTCTCCATATGACACAATTATTTTCAGTAGCAGCCATGGAATTTAACCACCTCCTGCCCACCATATAGTGTAATGACGGGCGCAAGGTGGTTCTCTCATTCTGGGAGGACAGCATATGATGTCGTCCCATTTTAACCATGCATGCGCGGCTCCGGGAGCGAGCAGTGCAGCGATCAGTGTTGCACTGTGTCCCTGGGACACAGCAGATCACCGATCAATGGAAAGAGCCGAAGATGTCGGCTCGGTCATGTGATCAGATGTGTCCAATCACAGCTGATCGCATGTAAATAGGAAAATGCCGGTTATCTGAATTTCGCTCCTCACGAGCTGTCACGCTGACAGCTTGAGAGGAGAGCAGAGCCGGTAATTGGCATCCCTCAAAGGGGACATGTACACTGATCATCAGGGCACTGATGATCAGTGTGCCCTGATGATCTGTGTAGCCCCAGCAGTGCCACCTGTCAGTGTCCATCAGTGCCAGCTGTCTGTGCTCATCCATGCCACCTGCCAGTGCCCATCAGTGCCACATTTCAGTGCCTACCAGTGCACATCAATGCCACATATCAGTGCCCATCTGATCTGCCTTTCAGTGTCACCCATCAGTGCCACCTATCAATGCCAGTCAGTGCCACCTATCAGTGCTGTCAATTAGTGCCACCTATCAGTGCCAGTCAGTGCCACCTAACAGTGCCAGTCAGTGCCACATATCAGTGCCAGTCAGTGCTGCCTATCAGTGCCACCTATCAGTACCATGTATGAGTGCTGCCTTTCAGTGCCCATCAGTGATGCCTGTCAATGCCCATCAATGCCACCTACCAGTGCCTCCTCATTAGTGCCCATCAGTGCCACCTATCAGTGTCCATCAGTGCAGCCTATCAGTGCCCATCACTGCAGCCTTATTAGCGCACATCAGTGAAGGAGAAAAAAATCACTTATTTACAAAATTTTATAACAAAAACTAAGAAAAAAATTTTTTTTTCCCAAATATTCAGTTTTTGGTTTAAGAAAAAATAAAAAACCCCAAAGTGATTAAATACCACCAAAATAAAGCTCTATCTGTCACAAAAAAATGATAAACATTTAATATGGGTACAGTGTTGCATGACCGCGCAATTGTCATTCAAATTGCGACAGCGCTGAAAGCTGGAAATTGGCCTGGGCAGGAAGGAGGTATAAGTGCCCTGTAGGCTAGTGGTTAAAGAATACTAAAAATGAGTAAAACAAAATTGGAGAAAGTGAATAATGTCTTTATCAGAATCTTATATAAACACTGCTCAAAAAAATTAAAGGAACACTTTGAAAACACATCAGATCTCAATGGGGAAAAATCTCATGCTGGATATACTGATATGGACTGGGTAATGTGTTAGGAAAGTAAGGATGCCCCATTGTTTGATGGAAATGAAAATTGTCAACTTATACAGGACTGAATTCAAAGACATCCCAAAAATCAAAGTGAAAAAATGATGCAGCAGGATAGTCCATTTGGCTGAAATTTAATTGAAGCAACTCAAAATGGTATTCAGTAGTTTGTATGGCCCCACGTGCTTGTATGCATGCCAGACAATGTCGGGGCATGCTCTTAATGAGACGACGGATGGTGTCCAGGAGTATTTCCTCCTAGATCTGGACCAGGACATCACTTCTGGACAGTCTGAGGTGCAACCTGGTGGCATCAGATGGAACGAATCATGATATCCCAGAGGTGTTCTATTGGATTTAGGTCAGTCAAGCGTGGGGGCCATTCACTGGTATCAATTCCTTTATCCTCCAGGAACTGCCTGCATATCCTTGCCACATGAGGCCAGGCATTGTAGTGCACCAGGAGGAACCCAGGACCCACTGCACCAGAGTAGGGTCTAACAATGGGTCCAAGGATTTCATCCCAATACCTAATAACAGTCAGGGTGCCATTGTCTAGCCTGTAGAGATCTGTGTGTCCTCCATGGATATGCCTCCCCAGACCATGACTGACCCACCACCAAAACGGTCATGTTGAATGATGTTACAGGCAGCATAACATTCTCCACGGCTTCTCCAGACCCTTTCACACCTATCACATGTGCTCGGGGTGAACCTGCTCTCATCTGTAAAAAGCACAGGGTGCCAGTGGTGGACCTGCCAATTCTGGTGTTCAATGGCAAATGCCAATCGAGCTCTATGGTGCCGGGCATTGAGCACAGGGCCCACTAGAGGACGTCGGGCCCTCAGGCCACCCTCATGAAGTCTGTTTCTGATTGTTTGGTCAGAGACATTCACACCAGTGGCCTGCTGGAGGTAATTTTGTAGGGCTCTGGCAGTGCTTACCCTGTTCCTTCTTGCACAAAGGAGCAGATACTGGTCTTGCTGATGGGTTAAGGACCTTCTACGGTCCTGTCCAGCTCTCCTGGAGTAACTGCCTGTCTCCTGGAACTTCCTCCATGCTCTTGAGACTGTGCTGGGAGACACAGCAAACCTTCTGGCAATAGCAAGCATTGATGTGCCACCCTGGAGGAGCTGGACTGCCTGTGCAACCTCTGTAGGGTCCAGGTATGGGCTCATGCTACCAGTAGTGACACTGGCCCTAGCCAAATGCAAAATTAGTGAAAAAACAGTCAGAAAAGATGAGTAGGGAAAAAATGTCAGTGGCCTCCACCTGTAAAACCATTCTTGTTTTGGGGGAAATCTCATTGTTGCCGATTTAGTGCACTTGTTGATAAGTTCATTAACACCAAAGCAGATGAAACTGATTAACAACCCCCTCTGCTACTTAGCTGACCAGTTCAATATCCCAGAAGTTTAATTGACTTGATGCTATACTCTTATTAAAAGTGTTCCTTTAATTTTTTTGAGCAGTGTATATTCATGCTGGTAAAAAAATTAAGATCTAATAGCAGCACTCTGCGCACCTTGGTGAAATAAGGGGGAATTATCTGCTTGCTGAATGAAATAAAAGCCAAGGTTTTAATAGCGGTGCATGTAGTGCACCTTTGTGAGTGATAATAATTGTGTGCTAAATAAAATAAAATTGAAGTCTTTATTAGCAGGGCCTGTGGTGCACCACAGTGAAACATAAGTATAATAGAGGTGTGCCTTGGTAGTGACAGGACTACAGGGGACAAAATGTGTCTAAACAGCTGTGACTTCAAATAAGTAGGCAAAAAAAAACCCTTAAAAAATCCCTCTCCTGCAGCAAAACTCTTCTCTCATCTAGCAAAACCACCTCCCCTAGTGAAACTCCCTTCTCTTAGAAACCTTCTCCCCTACTTCCCCAGCAAAGCCCTCTTCCCTCAGCAACCCCCCCACCCCCCCCCCCCATTCCCCGCCAGAGCCCCTGTCATGTGGATTTCCAGAATCCTTGCCAGTGCTTCCAATGGTACTTGCCAAATCCCAGCCGGGGCTTCCAGAATCCTTGCTAGTAATTCCAATGTCACTTACAGAATCCCTGCTAGGATTTCCAGAATTCCCTGAAACAAATCAAGTTTGTCCTCTGACCAGGACTTTTTTTCTGCGGGAACGTGAGGGAATGAAGTTCAGACACCTCCAGTACTGAATGCATGTAACGGCAAGGGGTGCTGAGGTATGCTGGAGGATCTATTGTTTCTGGGAGGTAGTCATTTGTTGCTGGGATGGATCTACTGTTGAGGAAGGGGTCTCATGTTGTTGGCTGCTGGAGGGTCTATTGATGCTGGTTGCTGTGAGGCCGGTTATTGCTGAAGGGAGTCTAATTTTGCTGGGGTGGATCTATTATTGCTGGGGGCTATTTTTTGTGGGGAGGGTTTATTGTTGCTGGGGAGATCTGTTGCTGAAAGTGAGTGTATTGAAAGTGAGTGTACTGTTGCTGGCTTCATATCTATTGTCATTGCCTCACCACCTGCCCCCTCGACCCTATCCCCTCACAACTCCTATGACCTCCCTCCCCCTCCATCCTACGCTCCCTCACTGACATCTTTAATCTCTCCCTCTCTTCTGGCGCATTCCCCTCCCCTCTGAAGCACGCGCACATCACTCCCATACTTAAAAAGCCCTCCCTGGACCCCAACAACCTCAGACCCATCTCCCTGCTCCCATTCTCATCCAAACTCCTCGAGTGCTTAGTCTACAATCGCCTAAGCTCTCACCTCAACGACAACAACCTCCTCGATCCCCTACAGTCCGGCTTCCGTCCCTACACTCCACCAAAACTGCCTTACTCAAACTCTCCAATGATCTTCTAACCGCCAAAGCTAATGGCCACTATTCAGTGCTCCTACTCCTCAACCGCTCCACTGCCTTTGACACAGTCGACCAACCCTCCTCCTCAAAAAACTACACTTCCTCGGCCTCAAAGATTCAGCTCTCTCCTGGCTCTCATCCTACCTGTCACAACGCTCCTTCAGCATTACCTATAACGCTACCACCTCCCCCTCACTCCCCCTCTCTGTTGGGGTCCCTCAAGGCTCCGTCCTCAGGCCCCTTCTCTTCTCCATCTACACCTCCTCTCTTGGCCAACTCATACACTCTCACGGCTTTAACTACCACCACACACAATCTATCTCTCTACCCCTCGCCTCATCCCCTCTGTCTCTGCCCGAATCACAAACCTACTAAATTACATATTAGACTGGATGTCGCTCCACTTCCTTAAACTGAACCTCTCCAAAACTGAGCTCCTAGTCTTCCCCCCAGCCCGCACACCACCCCCCACTGACTTCTTCATCACGTCCAACAATGCCACTATCAGGCCCACCCCGCAGGCCAGAGTACTTGGTGTTATTCGGGACTCCAACCTATCCTTCCAGCCCCAAGTCCAATCACTAACAAACTCATGCAGACTCCACCTCCGCAACATCGCCAAAATCCGCACATTTCCTAACCCCAGAAACCACTAAACAGCTAATCCACTCCCTCATCATATCATGACTCGATTACTGCAACTCCCTCCTCACTGGCCTGCCTCGCCACAGGCTATTCCCACTTCAGTCGATCCTGAATATGGCTGCCAGACTCATTCACCACACCAACCACTCCTTTTCCGCCACCCCCCTCTGCCAATCCCTCCACTAGTTTCCGATTGCACAACGGATCAAATTCAAAATCCTAACACTGACATACAAAGCTGTCCCAGCCCGCACACCACCCCCAGTGCAAAAGTTAGAAATGCGCACTAACCAGAAACGTATTAATAATACGCATGTGTATATGATATCATGAAGAATCCCCTCTCTTTTCTGGTCTGGTAATGGGCAGGAGCTGAAGATAGTAGAGATGAAGTGCCCTCGTGTGGCGAAATGGAGGTCCAGCAGGTCACAGAAATCCTTACAGAAGTGTGTGAAGTGGAAAATTTCTCCTCTCAAAGGCTGGTGCAGGGATCAATCTGGGTCCGCAGAAGCTGAAAAGGCTCATTGCAGAAGACACAGGAAAGAACCCATAGTGTAGTAGGTTGATGAAAATGATTTTATTCAAGAAAAACAGGAGTGTTCAGGAAAAACTCACAATGGTGCCAGGTTTACTCAAATGACTGACCTCAGCTCTACCTCTGAAGAAGTGCGTGCGCACGAAAAGCGTCAGGTAGAGCCCGGGACGCCATTGACACTACGCCGCCGGTGCCACGTGGAGGCCCGGTGGCCATCTTTAATCTTAAAGGGTCAGTCATTTGAGTAAACCTGGCACCATTGTGAGTTTTTCCTGAACACTCCTGTTTTTCTTGAATAAAATCATTTTCATCAACCTACTACACTATGGGTTCTTTCCTGTGTCTTCTGCGATGAGCCTTTTTCAGCTTCTGCGGACCCAGATTGATCCCTGCACCATTTG